GACATCCTTCCCTTCGCGGACATCTCTCCCTTCCCCTAGGGAAATGTGCCCCATGCGAAATAAATCTGTATCCCGCTGAGAATTCCATCTGTGCCTCGGTGCCTCCTCCATCCGCTCGAGCTCTCCACCACCCGCTTGCTCTCTCCAACATTCCTACCTATCATCTTTTCTTCAAGACAGGGTGACCGAGAGAAAAAAGACAACCCTAACCCTCACTCCAAACCTTTCTGAGCCCGGGGGGGAGAGGCCAGAGCTGCTTGCCAAGAAAGGCTGGGGTGCACATACCACAGAGGAGTACAAGCCATGGGCAGCAGCCCCAGTGGGCCTGGGCCATGGGGTCTCCAGATGCTGATGCTGAGTAGATGAAGAGAGTGGGGAGAGGACTTGGCTGTTTTGTGGCCTCTTCCTCTAGACCTTTCCTGAGCAGAGGCAGACAAGGGTGATGGCTGGCGAAGAGGAGACGTCCAGCAGCTGGAAGAGGATCTAAGCCCCAGTGAGCAGAGGAACTTTAGGCTGCCTGGACAACCTGTACTGGCTTCTTGAGGCTTGGAATAGGGTGTGAGCCTGCCCTGGGCAGAGTCCAAAGATCTCTGAGATTGAGGAGCAACAGCTGGTCTCAATTAGCCAGCTTATCCCAGCCCCCTCTTCATAAGCTCTACCCCACCCTGTTGCTGAATTCTGTCCCCCTCCTTCCAGCAAGCTGTTTTCCATTAGCTCCCCCACATCACCAGGCTCTGGGTACAGTCCCTCTTTGGGATGGCTATTTGTTCCTACTTCTGTTCCTCCTCTGAGTTTGCCTGTCTCAGGAAAAAAACCCAAAAAACAAAAAACAAAAAAAAACAGTTTCTCTCTCTCTCTCTCTCTCTCTCTCTCTCTCTCTCTCTCTCTCTCTCTCCCCTCCCTCCCCTCCCTTCCTCTCTCTCTCTCTCTGAAGCTGATTGCAGCAGTAGCTGAAGAGTACTGTCTCACAACTGGCATGAGTTGCCTCAGAGAGTCTACCCTGAAAAATGCCACCAGACCTTCCCTTGTGGTCCTGTGAATCTCTTTCAGCTGCATGTCCTGGGCTCTGTTTTAGGCTTTGTTTTGGAGACAGGGTCTCCATGTAGCTCCACCTAACTTACTATGTAGGCAAGAAATCCACCTGCCTCTGCCACCTGAGTGCTGGGATTAAAGGCGAGTGCCACCAAGCTCAGCTGTTCTGGGTTCTGCAAAGTTCAAGCTGCTTTGGAATATTGCTACCTGAAAAGAATCAGCAGCCCAAAGGTACCTAGATTTGGAGACCAGGGATGCCATGGAAAGACCCAGAAGGAGGAATCTGGGGACTCTGAGAAGGCAAAGTTAGTTAACTGGAAATGCTCTTGACATAGCTTCTAGAACAGAGATTTGGTCACCTTGTAGGGTGGATGATTTCTAAACAGGTGGACTCCCTGGGAGGGAAGCAGAGGTGCAGAAGACAGGGGTCTCTCCTTCACACACACACACACACACACACACACACACACACACACACAACCCCCCCCCACATACACACCCTGCACTCAGTTTTGCCACAGAACATCACAACATACCAATTCCAGTACAGCTCCTAGGAAATGCTTTCTAGAACTCTTGGATGCCTATGAGACCAGAAAGAACTTCTTCCAAGTGACAAATTGACCCAATGGATTGGGGCTCACTTAGTCTGGCTGCAGAGGTACACAGCCCATTAACTAATTAATTGATTGATTTTTAAAATTAAGTTTTTTCAGTGTTGGAGAGAGAACCTGGTATCTTGCACATGCTATGTAAATATTCTACTACTGACCTACAGCTCTACTCAGTATTTACTATTTTTTGATATGGGGTTTCATATCAAAAGGCCAGCCCAGTCTAGCCTTGAATTTTCAATCCTCCTGCCTCAGACTCCTGAGGCTAGGATTATAAGCATAGACCACCATGCCCAGCTTTGATTTTATTTTTAATGTACTTACCTTCTGTTTCTATCCACAGTAAATTTAGGGGAGCTTTCAACAATCCATTTAAGAATGATGAAGTAATCCCAATACAGATGGGAAAGGGGCTCATGAACTCTTATCCCTATCGGAGGAGGACCTATTGGGAATTCATGGTTATTGAGGGATGGAGACTCACTTTTCTTTAGGGATGCAGCCCGAGAGGGTAGATGGTCCTTATTCACGCACGTACTGGCAGCACTAAGTAGACTCAGTGGTGTTTTTAAAAAAGAGCACTTGAAGCTGGGAGGGAAAGTGGTGGGAGGGATAGAGGAGAAATTGGAGGGGAGGGAATGGGGAAGATTTGATAAAACACATTATATGCATGTATGAAATTCTCAAAAAATAAAATAAAAAAAAAGAATGATGATGTAGACCATTTTGTAGAGGGAAAGGGAGGCCTTCCTGGGACTCCTTGACAAGGCAGATTCAACATAAATGAAGAACCTCTGTGACCTCTACCTTTTGGAATACAACCAAAGAGCAGAAGCCCCCAGCCTCAGAGAACAGACCAGGGACAAGGACTGGAGAGCTCTATGTCACCCCATGACTGCTGAGGTTCTTGTGGTCTTTTCCCTATCCCCTGTTTCTGACCCCTTCCAGGACTGGCAAAGAGGTTATTTCTAAAAACCAGAGTGTGGAGAAAATGCCTGCTAAAAGGCCCTCACCTCCTCCTTGCCCTGTACCAGCCACCTCGGAGGGCAAGCAAATAGAGCTATTGCGGGTCATGAAGAGACAGTCTTCAGGAACTATTGCTGTTAATGGCCTAGGAATGCTGACTCAGAAGCTAGATTTCCTGGCTGTCAAATTTCAGCAATCACCAACCAGCTGTGTGGTCTTGGGCAGTGATTTTACCTCTAAGAGCCATCAGTTTCTTTGACTGTGATATGCTGTTGATGTAATATTAAAGTCTTTGGTGTGTGATGAGGATGCAATGGAGTAGTCCTTGTGAAGCTGCTGAAACACACCTGGCGGAGGGCAGTCAAGGCTTTGTGTTTGTTCATACAGATGCATGACCAGAAGCAAAGCAGGTCTCATCTGTACCTTCTTCTTTCTGTCCTTAGCACCAACACTGTTGAAATAGCAGCCATTGTTATAGCAAACTCAGTGTGCTGTATGTCTCAAAAGCAATCCAATGACCCAGGCATCTTGCCTCCATCTTTTGAACTCTGGGAGAGCTCCACTCAGTACTTGGCCCTCTGCTTCTGTCTTCTGGGAACTTGCCTTGGCCCTGGTGGTGACAATGACCTCACCTGCCTGTACCCTCAACTCCTCCCTTATCTCCTTATCAAGAAACCACTGTCTTTGCTCTCATCATTTTGGGGACTTGACCTCAAACGCTGGCAACAGTTCTGAAGTGGAAAGCAATGATTCAGGATGGGCAGGGTGAATGTCCAAGGGTCCTTTGTGGGAAAGTTGCTTGGAAACCCATGAGTCACTCATTATAGTCTCCCTGTGGCCAGCACAGACAGTTCACTTCCTCCTGTTGCATTTGTGGACCCAAGGCCTAGCTAAGGACCAAATCCTGAAATTGCAGAAGTTGCTTTTCAGGGTCTCTCCTCACCACATCTCCTTTTCTTTCTTTAACTGTGAGCCTACCCTGGACTTGTCACCCTGACTTCTGACCTGTATCGTACTTTCTGTCTTAAAGCAAACAACAAACAAGGAAACAAACAATAAAAGATAAAGAACTCAAAATAACAACAAAAACATTTTATTTGAGCATTTATTTGAAAGACGTTGCCTTAACCCTTTATTTTCTTAATTTTTCCTTTTTAGATCACCCATCCCTGAGAGCAGGAGCTTGCTTTTATAGAATTTTGGGTCCACCAAAGCATTCAGGACAGAACCCAGTAGAATAGGATTAACAGGAGTTTTTTTGTTTGTTTGTTGTTTGAGATGGAATCTCACTTAATAGTCCTGGCTGGCCTGGAACTGGCTATGTAGATCAGGCTGATCTTGAAATCAGACATCTGCCAGACTCTGCATCTTGAGTGCTGAGATTAAAGGTATCCTCTACCATGCCTGGCTTAACATAATTTTTTTAAGCTGACACTGAATCCCTGCAATGTGTTGGCCAGCCTCCCCTTCTCTCTCCTAAAAGGTATGTTCTGAATGGGGGCAGATTTTTTTTAGCCCCAGGTTTCTGTGGTGCTGTTGGATGCTCCTTCCATCATACCTATCCCACTTTGACAAAAAGCTACGATCCACTGGACTTGGGGGTGTAGGTCCTTAATTTTAACCACTTGGGAGGCTGAACTCCAGACCCATGGTTACATAGTGAGACTCTGTCAAATTTATAAACAAAGAAAGGGGTGAAAGTATAGCTCAGCACTAATACACTTGTCTAGCATGTGAGAGTCTTTGGTTCCATCCTCAGTACTGAGGATAAAAGAAGCAAAACAAACATACCACAAAGCTTCCTTGTGCATATGTGTATGTGTGTATGTATGTGTAAGTGTGTGTAAGAGTATGTAGGGTGTGGTCAGTGGTAAGGGGGCAAGAGTTCATTTCATGGAACTTGATCTTTGGTCTTAATGTAGCCCACAATTCCCCACTCAGGCAGCAGGGAAGCAGAGATGGCCATTTATCTCCACAGGGAAAGTGTTGGCTCTTCCTCCTTTGCCATGGTTGATGAATCCAAAAAGTAGCTCCTCTCTAGTAGCTCCTAGCATTCCATGACTCACCCCTACTGCCACCACTGCTGCCGCCTCGTTATCGTCGTCTCATCTCCCTCCTCGTCTCGTCTCCCCCCCAACCCCCCCCTCCTCTTCCTGCTCCTCCTCTTCCTCCTCCTTGTTCTCTTCCTCCTCATGAATGAAACTGGTGGTTTCATTCAGGAACTAGCTCAGTGCAGGGCAGTTAGTTTGGTTCCTTCTGTGAGCACAGAGTGACTTAGATCCTTAGCCCCAGATGATTCTGTCCTTAACTAGGTATATCACAAACCTGTGCTGCCACCTTAAGGGCCTTGTATCACATAAGGATACATTGCTAGAGTACCACTGGGGCTCGCCAAGTTTCCAGATGGTTCCCCTCAAGCTTCCATTTGGTGGCCTTTTGGTACTTTCCTGGCCATCTGTCATCTTTGGTACCTGATCTCTCCTAGTCAGACATCTCGTACCCTCTTCCCACCATCTTCGCTCCAGTCATACTACCTTTCTTGCTGTCCCTCTTCTCAGGTTCCCTCTAGCATAAGATTTCACTTGTTCTTTTCTGTCAACCTGGAATGCTACCCTTTCGTCTTCCTTTGGCCTTGTCAATTACTACTTCTAGTCTTGCTTTATGTGTTACTTATTTGGTCTGGAAGCTAAGTTGGCTCTTCCTGTTATACCTCTGACTGCCTTTGTCATAGATGCTGTCATCTGCATTCTTTTTTTAAATTTTATTTATTACTTTTATTTTATGTGTATGAGTGTTATGCCTGTATGTAGGTAAGTGCACCTGTGTCATGTAGTGCCCACAGAGGACAGAAGAGGCTGTCAGATCCCCTGGAACTGGGGCTATGGACAGTTGTTAGCTGCCATGTGGGTGCTGGGATTCGAACCCAGGTCTTCTTCAAGAACAACCAGTGTCCTTAACTGCTGAGCCATTTCACCAGCCCCTGTCATCTGCATTCTAATTCCCTAGCCATGGGGAAGATCATGGCAGCAAGTTCATGGCTACCT